TATTTAAATTGTTAGTATTAGGAGGTAAAGGGAACCCCTATTGTGCTCCTGGTCGGAGAGTATACTGTCACAACTTTTTTAGAGAATATAAATTGTTGGGGCAATTTTTTAATTGAAAAGCTTTAGATCAATGCATTCCCCATGTCAGAATACTAAGAAAATGTGCAAATTTTAGGCTATAAGAATGTAAAGCATAATATCTAGAATGTGAATAAAATCAGACAATTTAGATGTCTAGTAAAAGAAAGTTGTTTCTTTTGTTACAACCGCATTATGGAATACTATACAGTCATATCAATGATTTTGCATAAGAATATTTGTAACAAGGAAGTAAAATATATTCATTGCATTCTATTCAGCAAATTGGTATGATAAAAGAACCAGTAAATCACCCTGGCCGGTTTGGCTCAGCAGTTAGAGCATTGACCCTCGAACCATGTAGTCCTGGGTTCAGTTCCCGCTAAGGGCACCTATCTAGGTTGTGGTTTGTCCCTGGTCCTGCTTGGGGTCGTGTGGGTGGCAACCACTCAATGTTTCTCCTCTTTCTTCCTCCAGCTCTATCTCAGAATAAATGCAAAAATGACCTAGGGTGAGGATTAAAAAAAAAAGAACCAGTAAATCATCTAAATGACAGCTCTGGAGTCAAAAGCCTGCAAGTTTTTTTGTATAAAAACGTGCCCTTCATCTAGCTGGTGTGGCTCAGTGGCTTGAGCATTGTCCCATGGACTGAGAGGTTCTGGTTCGATTCCCAGTCAGGGCACATGCCTGGGTTGTGGGCTTGATCCCAGTAGGGGGCGTGCAGGAGGCAGCTGCTCAGTGTTTCTCTCTCACATCCATGTTTCCATCTCTCTCTATCTTCTTCTCTCTCTAAAAAGAAAAAAAAAAAAAAACATATATATATATAAACCTTGCACCTCTGGCACTTACATGTAAGATGGTAAACTTTTCAAATTTCCCATTTATTTTTCTGTAAAAAGAAGAATAATTGTTCTTCATCCTACCTCACAGTATTTGGGGGGATATTAAAAAAGACAATACTTTCAATGTTCTCAGCATTTTACCTGTTGAGTAGTGCACATAACATACTGTGATAGAATAGCATAAATACATCATCTGTAAAATAAGTACATGTTTATATTTAGATATTGATATTGATAAGATATATACATATAGTAATAACCTCAACTGTTTTTTGCTTATTTCTATGGGTCAAAGTGTGATTTTTGTTGTGTTTGCTTTGGTTTAACTGAGTTCTCTAAATTTTTTACCTGGAAGAGAGTATAAGTCAGGAGTTCTGCTGCAATAACAAACAACACTGATATCAACCCGAGAACAACATAGGTTTATTTCTCACTCCTGTTACAAGTCCCTTGGTGGTATCAGCAGAGGTTTCTGCTAATCATCCACATTCAGTGACCGGAGCTAAGGAATCAGTCACCATCTCAAACACTCCAAATCCCAGGCCAGAGAGAAAAGGAGATGACAAATCTCTCACTGCCTCTTAAATTCGGCTCTGAAGTGAACACATTACTTTTGCTCACATGTCTTTTTTACCTAAGCCAGACACAGACCCAGGAATAGAACCTCGACAGGAACAATAGAAATGCATTTCTTGCCTTGGCCGGTTTGGCTCAGCAGTTGGAGCTTCGGCCCGCGGACCAGAGAGACCCGGGTTTGGTTCCCGCTAAGGGCGCGTACCTAGGTTGCAGTTTGTCCCCGGCCCTGGATGGTCGTGCGGGTGGCAGCTACTCAATGTGTCCCTTTCACATCGATGTTTCTCTCTCTCACTCCCTCCCTCCCACTCTATCTGAACAAAAAATGGATAAATGTCCTCTGGTGAGGATAAAAAAAAAAAATTAGAAATGCATTTCTAAGTCAAGAAGAGTTTAAAACTAATGTGTAGCCTTTTATAAGCCATTTTTAGTTTTTGAGCAGAACACTGGTGTGAAAATAAAGTTGCCTGCCATGCCCAACTCTTGGGAGCAGAAATGAGGATGAATAACTGTTATCCATATTGACTATATGAGAGTCATCTAAATTAAATGAAAAGATATTCATAGGCAATAAGAAATCTAGGAGTCAAAGAATAAATAGAGAATGTAAGAGATCACTAAATTATTCCCTTATCTTTGAGTCATAATGATCACATTTAGTCATTACCAACAGAAGTACGTAATCTAATTTGATTTCCAGTGGAAAAATACCTTCACCTGGCTCCTGAGTGGACTGGACTGAGGAACTTCAGGACATTCTTCCAGGAGAATATATCTTTTTCTTGGTCCCAGCTGGTAAGCTGAAAGACTTGAGAACCGATGGGCCTTAAATTGCTTTCCTCACTCATGTAACCACTGATACAACTGTCATTCATACGTTACAAAACAAATCCTTTGAAAGTTTTCATATTAGCTATTTGCTTTGAAACACCCGATGCCAATGAGTTTGCAGATGTAGCATTATGAGATAGGAAGGGTCTCTGATCATTGGTCCGAGCACTAGACTGGCTCTCATAATCTTTGGTCTTCAGTCTCAAAATCCTCATATTTTTGTTATGACTTCCTAGGAAATCACTTTACTCATCAATAGCTCCACTTCTCCATGAGGGAACTAGAAAAGCTTATTATTTATCTGTAAACTTTTTCAAAAGGCTTAAATGAATTATAAAAAGTTAAAAAAGTCATAATTTCATACATATATTTAACACCATTTTAATAATAAACTTTAAATATATTCTATTGCTTTAAAGTGGTAGCTAAATTAATTAGTTAATCTCTAGAAAGGTAAGACACAAATATGTATTTATCAGAGTTTATTAAAATGTTATATACAAAGCCCATTAGGATCTTCTTGCACTAACAGTATATTAAAAATGTCAGAGACAAATGAAAAACACCTGGTAAATACACACACACACACACACACACACACACACACACACATATTTTTTAGGGTGATTTTTATGTTTGAGAAATATTTTGTATGCTTTTGTTTCTTTTCCATTATATAATTTATTTTTAGCAATAAATGAATGAATGTGTGAGTGAATAAATAAATAACAGTAGTCTCAGGAATGCTAACTTTTAATCTTTGTTGCTTTAAAAGCATGATAGACTTACTCAAGCACTACAATAACAATATCATATTAATGCAGGTAGAACATCGAATATTGTCTGGGGTTATCGGTGAAAGATGGGGTAAGTCAGAAATGATTGTGAAAAAAAAATCCTTCTACCCATTTCTTATCTTCCTACTTATAATTGTTAGAAATAAATATCAGAGTATAAAAAAATACCTATGATACAAGTAATTGTGGAGACTTTGGGAGTTTTCTACATAAAGAAAACTATAAGCAATTTTTTTTAAAAGGCAGATGATAAATAATGGCAAGAATGTGAGGAAACTGTAACCTTTGCAAATTGCTGGTGAGAATGTAACATGGTGTAGCCATCTTAAAGACAGTACCTCAAAAAGTAATCATAGAGTTATCAAATGACCCACCTACGAGTATAAACCCAAGAGATATTAAAACATAATTCACACAAAAACTTACACATGAATGTTTCCAGAATATTACTCATGATGGTTGAAAAGTAGAAACCATCCAAATGTCCATTAAGAGATAAATGGATAAATAAATGTGGTCAATTCATAAACACGAATATTATTCAGCCATAAAAAGGAATGAAGTTCATGCTACAAAATGGATAAAGCTTGAAAACATTATCCTAAGTGAAAACAAAGCCAGAAACAAAAAGACCACATATTTTATAATTTACACGAAATATCCAGATTAGGTAAATTCATAGGAATGGGAAGTCGATAATGGTTTCTAGGGTTTAGGGGAGAGGTGAACGGAGCATGACTGGTAAGAGGTACAGAGATTCTTTCTGTGGTGATGAAAATGTCCTAGAATGAGATAGTGGTGATAGTTGCATAATTCTGCTAATATACTAAAATCCACCGAGTTGTACACTTTAAAAGTGAATTTTGTGGGTTTGAATTATATCTCAATAAAAATTTATTTTTCAAAAAGAAAACTGTAGCATAAAATTAAATTTCTAACATCCAGAAACAAAAATGTTTCTTCTTTTCCTCTCTCATGACTAAAATTTGTAATAACTTCAATTACAAGTTCCTCTGAAAGCATACTTCATATTAACTTTGCCATTTTCATGTTAGAGGTGAAATTGTATTTCTTATTTTGATAAATCAAAAAGAATGGAAGCAGCTTTCCTCCAGATGAGTTCTTCCCTCTCCAATTTGTACTGACCTGGTCCCAAGAGCACACCTGAGACACATGCCTTCTGAACCAACAAAGGCCTATTCAGAGCGATCTGTTCATGCCACGCTCTTCCGAAAGCCAGCACTCTCCTCCATACACAATGCTACCGAGCTTCAGAAATGTCAGCGAGCAATTAGATGGTCTCATTCAGGAAGTTTTGAGCAAACATCCAAACATGTTTCTTTTCTTTTTAAGTAGCATTGAACTGAATTGAACGGAACTGAAATTGAACAAACCTCAGAGTTACGGTGGACTGATGGCATGTGAGTGTATGTGGGTGAGCAAGGGAGCCAGAAAGGGAAAGGGAGATATTTCTCCGTGTACTTTCGTTCATGGAACTTGGATTTCTCATTAAATGTATTGGGGTGACATTGGTTAATGAGATTATATAAATTTCAAGTGTATAATTCTATGATATATCATCTGTATGTTTTATTAGTTCTTGGAAGAGATTAACCAAAGACTTTTATATGCATAGCCCACGGACACAGACAATAGTGAGGTGAAGGCCCGAGGTGGAGCAGGAACCCGGTGGAGGGGGGCAAAAAGGGGGAAGTGGTGACATCTGTAATCTTCTCAACAATAAAACAGAATAAATTAATTAAAAACAGACTAATCTCTCGTCAGGAATCTTTGCTAGGTTTTAAATAAGATACATGTGAAGTGAATTCGTTTGACTCGGGATTAGGAGGTGGTGGCAAGGCTGAGAGCCTGCACTTACCCCTTCCAGAGCAGGGCAGGTCAGAGCCTCCTTGGCACTTCCTGATGCTCTCCTCAGCCGACAGTGGGCAGGAACGGGGGTGCTCACACTTCTTCCCATGCCAGCCTGCTTTGCAGTCACAGCGTCCACAGTTACATTGTCCATGACCTTCACAGTGAGATTCATAAACATTATACGTTCATATCCATGTGAAAAATGTATTAAAGTCATAATTTATTTCAACAGGGAACGTCACAAACGAAACAGGATCTTAATTAACAATAGAAAACATTAAGGCAAAGGTAGATGTTTCTCAAGTTCTTAAATACCTAATTTATATTAATTGCTCATGAGGGGTAAAGAAAAGCAACATCTCCAGGTATGATAAACAGACTCATAGGGCTATAAACTTGACTTTATCAAAATCTATATGCATGTGATTATATTGGCCTGCTGGGGCCTAAATGGAGTATTTGATGAATCTGGCAATTAATTTATGTGGAGGAGAGAATTAGGAATGAAAAACAATTTGTTTTTGAAGCAGGGTCTCACCTTTTGGAGTCACCTGCACTTTATTTTCATTACTTTTTTACCACACACTATATGCTGAGCCTTAAAACCAGTAGCCTGTGTGGAGTTCACAATCCTTAAAGACCCATTTAACACATATGAAAGAGGTCAGGAAAGATATTAAATTTCTTTACACATAGACACAAAGCCTGTAAAGAACTGTCTGTGATAATTAGTAGTATGGGATAGCAAAAAATAAAAATAAAAAAGGCCTATGTTATCAATCAAATAATTGGGTTCAAATCCTGATCCTGCTACTTACAGATTGGGCTGGTCAAATGACAACCACATCACAGTTTAGTTTCTTCATTTGTAAATGGGATAATGCATTATTTATCCACATTTATCAAGGAGTACATGATATATCTTAAAATGCTTCAGAAAAGTGAGGTGCTATTATTTTTTTTTATTTGAGCCCACATATGTAACCAAGTAGGACTAGAAAGGAAAGAAAGATGACTTCAGCTGAGCTTTTCCTAACATCTAGGAAACATTCAGATACTCATTACAGTTGCAGAACAACGTGGATTTCTACAATTGCTGCAAAAATGCATTAAGGATTTTAAAGGAAGTGAAATTACACTTTCTTTAAGTAAATCACATGTAATGCTAATGGATGAAAATCCATGGTATTTTGTCATTGGCATCTGATATTAATATGTATCATACAATATGAAAATTGACCTTCAACAAAGAGTAGTCTTTTTTATCATGAGGTTTAATATTTAATAGTAGTACATAAGGTTTAGGGGTAGATGTCTATCTTTTGAGTTTGAAGAATTGAACTATCCACATCTAAAGAATCTTTTCACCATCAATTAACCTGATTCTTCATGAAACAAATCATAAAATCATAGGTCAAAGTGAGGTAAGATATTAGGGATCACTGAATACAAATCTTTCATTTTTAACACTAAATTCCATTTAAAAAATTATTGAGTACTCATTATGTAACAGTGTAAACAACAAATTGCTGTTTTCATTAATACTCTGCCTTAGAGCTCATAATTTTAAAGAGAAAGATAATTGTGATTACTGGTAAATATGTAAAACATGTAATAGGATCATTTAGAACTTCAAATATGAGAATTTTTGTTATAATAGTTTAATCTATTAGCAATTAGCTTTCATATGTTGTTAGGTTCTGTGGCTTTTGCCATTTATACCAGCTTAAGAAATTCCTACTCTTCTTCTCAACCCTTGTGTAATTTAGAGCAAAATCTGCAGACAGAGCTGTACTGCAAATGCATAGGAAACAACAGTTTTTAAAATAAAATCTTTAACATTTAAAGTACAATTGATTCTGCAATTTCATAGGGGCCAATGGCTTTAAAATTCTTGAAGACAAGATGTTTCATCTCAAGAGCAGTTAGATCTGCCACAAGGATACTAGGCAAAGTACAGAACATGCTGCCATTTGCAGAAGACCAGTTGACACTTTAACAAAAAAACAAAAAAAAATTGAACAAGAGAGTTAGATTGAAAGGGGAAAAGCCTTACTCTTGAAAGTTTAAAATAGCTGTAAAAGTAGAACAAAACATCCAGCAGGTTTAAGATGCCAGGAAATCCCTATCTACCCAGGAGGATGCCACCTGCTGCTGCCGTTGCCTGAAATTCAGACGCAGCAACCCTTGCCCAGAGCGAGGGTCCCAATAACTAGGCACCTGAAATGAAGCAGGAGCCTATTTGGGGAACACCTGTGACTGGGGGGAGGACAGTCTCAAGTTTAATTAGTAGAAATACAGATTTAAGAGCAGTTATTATTGTCTCTCTGAGGATTATCTACATGTCAATATTTTTAAAATCGTGGTAGAATGAAACAAATTCATAAGGACAGAAATTATAAATAAGATATTTTTAGAGTTAAAATCTGGTCCAGGAAATATCAAAAGACGTCAGATTAATTGTGGATGCATTAATAAATTATGGGGAAAATGCAGCTGCTGTAGAAAAAAACAGCGCTGTTATTATTGCAGCTTCATTTCTTTCATCTTTTGCTGTTTCTGTGCTCTGCTAGAACAGGAGGGGAAGACGTCACCTATAATAACATGCACTTCTATTTCCTGTGCGTTTGATGCAGTATCATGGACCATCGCAAGGATGACTCCTATAAATGTATGTTTCACCTCCAGTCATCGTAAACTCCAAGCAAAGTTGGGAACAACATATATAATGTGTCCTCACTTTTGTCATGTGTGTGATGACCCCTAACTTACTGTGCCTTCTGCCTCAGCTTCAGTCTTCACCTAATCAAAATGCCCTCTCAATAACCCAGCTACACTGGAGTGCTTACACACTGGAATTAATTAATGAGATAGGATCATTGCTGTGATTGGTTTTGGGTCTCTAAACAGGAAAGTATCAGAGTGGGAGAATAAGGTCTAGTTCAGAATGGCCACTGCTCCTCCTCAAATCATCCACTTGTGAATCTTCTAGACTTTGCCCTCAAAAGTCAACATAACATCAATTGAACAAGTTCAAGCTGAGGAAAAGGGGTTATTAAAATATGAGTGACCTAAGTAAATGATGCATAGTGAATAAAATTCCCAAGAGTCAGTGAAAAGCATATGGCAACAAGTTTAATGATGAAATAGGGCATGGAGGAATTTTTTGAAGGTTGCCTTGTTTGGGGAAAATAGAATACCTGAATCTAAAATTCCAATAAAGATCGTGGAAGAAGCAAATGCAAAAGCAATAGAGAAAATATTTAACTAATTCTAGTCTAATATGATAATACATAGCACTGATAATGTTTATTGGAGATTAATGAACAAGTTAAAACATAAACATAAATTTACTTTCACAATAAGAAAAATTTATATCCCACATTTTTCAGTAACACTAAGTCACATGCTGGCAAATATATTTTAGAACATTATGGATCCCAATTTAAATGAAATTGTAGCTTTTCTATAAAGTCGATGGACTTAGGAAATCACTTAGAAATGTAAGGTATTGATATCAGATTCTGAAGTAGGTTTGAGCCTTTCAGACAAGACACGGAATCATAAAATAAAACGGTAATTTTTCTTCTGGAGTTCCTAATCTCTCAATTCTAGTATAAAAGTTATGCCAAAGAGAGAAAGAAGGAATCATTTTATAAGGATAAAATGAAGAAAGTAAACATTCATGGTTTTGATATACAAAGAAAAGTTTAGAAAAGGTAAAATCTATTAAGCATCAACTTTAGACTGCCATAACATTCTCTATTAGATTGTTTTATAAACAAATAGTGGAAAGGGCATAAACTAAACTAGGATACCCGTGCCCCTGATTCAACGTGTCAATGGTGCATCTTTCTGGGCCACATCTCACTGGACTTTATCTTTCAAAGTGAAACAACCACCCCTGGCTGGTTTGGCTCAGCAGTTAGAGCATTGACCCATGGACCAAAGTCTTGGGTTTGATTCCAGTCAAGGGCACATACCTCAGTTGCGGTTCATCCCCTGCCCTGATAGGGTCATGTGGGAGGCAACCAATTGATGTGGCTCTATCACATCAATGTTTCTCTCTGAGTCTCTCTCTCTCCCTCCCTCCCACTCTATCAAATGATAAATAGAAAAATATCCTTGGGTGAGGAATAAAAAAATAAATAAACAAACAAATAAATAAATAAAAGTGAGAAAAGCAGAGATGCAAAATTTACCATCCTGAACTGAAATTTAATGTTTCCATGCTAGTTTGTCAAACATATAGATTATGTCTGCAGGAGTTAATTGCATTGCTTCTAACAAGAAGCAATTGCTTTAAATTCTGCAAGCAGATGATAACAAAATAGAGATGAAAGACATAGCATGTTATTATTTATTCCTGGTATCAAATATGAAGAGAATTCACATTAGAGAATTGCTTTCAAAAGCTCTATAAATACATTAAAGACACACACACATACACAACAATGGAAAAACAACCTGGTGTTAGTGTCAGTGTGTAAATGAGATCACAACCCAACCTGTACCATACGGGCAGGGAGTTGGCAGGAAGACCAGACATCAAGCAGCACCATGGTCATTACAGTAGAGATTGTTGACACCAAAACTAATTTTTTCTTTGCAATCCTTTGAGTTAAGCTATTTAAATTCAGAAATATTAGTGCAGGGCAAATCCAATTTCATTCACTCTAGACAAGCATTCTTCTGCTATAGAGGATATTACTTTTTTTTTAAATGATTAAAAATGCTCATGAATCGGAATCTGATGTTTACAAGTAGCTTCTTACAAATTAACATGAAGACCATCAATAAGGATATGTTTGGGGAATAAATTAGATCTAACCCACACTTGTTATTCTTTTTTAAATTTCATTCAATATATTGATTTGCCTTCAAGACAATGTGAACTGAATATATTTAATAAGTTCCTTCAGTTTCTTTCCTTAATGTTTTGGTAATCTATAATGATAAATTTCTCCACTTACTCTGCTTCTTTCAAATGATTCCATTTCCCAAATTAATGGTACTGTAATCCAGGACTAACTTTCTATTTTCATTATTTTGGTAAGTAGGATAAGCTGAAAGATAGAGTTTAATGTCACATTGCAGCATATTTTTTCAATTATGGGAATTTGAGAAATAGACCAAAGTGGTAAGCAGCCTTCATAAGAGTTATTTCAGAAACAGAAAGTAAATTCAGTGGAGCAGCTCATGGAACTGAAGGAACAAATAAAGCAGTTTGTATAGTTTAGGATTACCAGTCACCTAAATGACCACATTTTAGGCACACTCAAACTGTATTAATAGTATCATCTTTGAGGTGTGTGTGTGTGTGTGTGTGTGTGTGTGTATCTGTGTATGAGTCATGTTTGTGTATGACTAAATACACACACATACAACACACGTGGATGATGAACAACATATAGGAATAAAAGAAAAAATAAATAAAGCAAGTTTATTTGGAAGCAGAGATTGTGTTTTAAAATATCTGTATATTCTATACCCATGATAGAGTAAGCACAAAATATCTACATTTAAGTGCATTATTTAATAGATGGACAGAGTGAGAGTGAATGAATAAAATGAGCATGTCAATTAAGAGAGCCAACTTAAACTATTCCATCAGGAGATTTCCTTTGGATTTAAATAAGACCAGTACTCTCAGGGTGGCAAGAATAGGAGCTAAAAATAAAGCTGCATTTCATCTAAACCTTAATACACTTCAGCCGTGCATAAATCACCAGAGAATGTCGATGTAGTTGGCTTACTTTTGTCTCATAAAACTAAGCTATTAACATACTCAATAATCAACTGCATGGCACCCTTCCTATGGTGCAACTTAGGCAATTAGGAACATTGTAAAGACTAATAATTCACTAAGCATAATATATAAAATTACACAGATTTAGTAAGAATAAAGAAATGCTACTGAGATTGATGCCTGCCCAAGATCATAATTATGTTCAGAGAAGCTTAGTTTTATAAGAATTTTGAGCACCAAGAGGACAGTTATTCTTTACCAAAATAACTTGAAGAATTTTATTTTCATTACTGGAGATTAAATTACATGAGTACTTGGGTTATATGTGTTTTCAGATGACACTTAAAGGCAGTGTGAACTTTTTCAAGTTACTTAGTTTCTTTGAACCTGTTTCCTCTTCTGTTAAAATATAGATAATCAAGTCTCCCTCTCTGAGTTAGTGTGAACATAAAATGGAATGAAATGTGTAAATGAACTTGGTTAAGTGTCTATCAGAGCAGGAGCTCTGTTAATGTTTCTTCTTTCCCAAATTCTTCTCAAGTGTAAGAGGGAGGCAGTGGAGAACTTGACACATTCAGTTCACTCACAGAATGGAAAATAAAATCACAATTACAGAGTTTATGTCTCATTGTCTTACATCTTATTGTTCAAACAACAGCCTATTATCTTAACACTTTTGCTACCCCTACCTGTCAACTCCCACAGCATGAAAACCACACATGAAGGGTTAATCATTACCTTTTAAATGCCTCCCATGAGAAACTCCACTTGCTTAACATTCTTGTCTGAGATCTCATAGGACAGGGAAGAATGAAAAATGAGAGAAAGAGAAAAATAGGGTAGAAGGAAGAAGGGAGGGAATAAATGAAGTGCAAAACTTCAGATTCCAAGTTCTTCTTCTTAATGGCTTTCACCTGCCCAACCCACAGTATTAATGCTGAGCCTAAGAACATGCAACAGCAACTGCAAACTTATAAAAGAATGGAAGTATCAACTGAAGTGTCAATGCTCATCTTCCCCTCATGGTCCTAATCTCTCACAATGAGATAGACCAGTTCGCATGATCCTGAATTACCACTATAAGGTATTTATTTTGAATTTTTCAAACCCACTCCAAATCAGAGTCATGGGTTAAACAAGGAGGAGTGCATCTGGGTACACTATGGTTTAAAAAACTGGTATATAAGAAAGCCACACAATTATATATATATGTAATCGAGTATCTCCTTTTATTTTCTATTTTAAATTGTATGAATTCATGTTTTATCTCACAATCTTTTTGTTGTTGTTGTTAATCCTCTCCCAAGGATATTTTTCCATTGACTTTTAGAGTGGGAGGGAGAAAGAGAGAGAGAAAAACATAGATGTGAGAGAGACACATTGATTAGTTGCTTCCCACACCACCCTGACCAGGGATGCGGATAGAACTTGCAGTCCAGGTATGTGACCTTGACCAGGAATCAAACCCATGGCCCTTTGGTCTACAGGCCAACACTCTAACCACTGAGCCGAACTGGCCAGGGCTTATCTCACAATCTTAAAATGGCATTTTTAAATGGTGTTCTCTGAGCCTCAGTATAGTTTTCATTACCAACTCTGTGCTTATGACTAAATTTTCACATTCAGTCCTAATCCCTTAGACCCACATATTCCATAGGCTGAAAATAGACAGTATCAATTTTAGGTTGCCATCTTTCCTTTATAATCAATATATCTAGAAACAAATGGACAAATTCCTTCTCTATTCCTCATTTCAGTAAATGGCACCAACCAGACAACCAAACTAGAAACCTGTGGCTACAGCACTCCACTGCCTAGAACTCCTCATTGCCTTTACAATAAGAGTCAAGTTCTCATTACACTAATAAATATGATAATAAAAAACATTCATAATAATGACTAATAGAAAAATCTGAAAAGAGCATCATCCCCTCAGGAGAACGGGGTTTATGAAATGTTTAGGAAATCCTCCTGAACACAAGAGCTAATCAGAGGAGGAAACCCTTATGTAGTGGGCAGTTTAAGCGACAGGTTCCCCTCAACCAGGCCAGACAAGTCTTTGCAGTTGCATAATCATAATTAGATAGCTCTTTGACCTCCCTTTGCTGGCAAACTTTCAGGAGATCCGTGGCATTTCCTATCTATGCACACCAATCAAAAAGTCAAGCTTAAAGAGATGTATGTGCATATGTCTCTGCCTTCTGTTGTATCAAACATAATGGGGCTGAAAACCCATAATCTGTTTTTGCTAAATGACACTTTGTCATAGAGATCTGATTGTTGTTGTTTTTTAATCCTTTGAACCATTAAAAATTCTGGAAGGTCATACATTTCCCTTGGCATTTAGAATTCAAGCTCCATAAAGTCAAGAATCATGTTTGTCTCCCTCACTGCTGGACCTAGAAGCCCAGATGAACTCCAGACCCTGGCAAATACTATCTCCTTCATAAATATTTATAAAACAAAATTTTTGAATCCACTATTTGATATTCAATTCTAAATTAATTTGCATAATAATTTTAGTATATAAATTATACCAAAGAATTAATGCATTAAAATATCCATGAGAATTGTATTATCCTAAGTTTTGCAATATATTAATATAGCTTGACATAACGGTACCTATCCTATTCATTGTCATCAGATCTGCCAGTTTTGTATTCTCAGAGTTGTGCAATAGATATCTAGAGCTAATGGTTCTCCTTGGTAAAGAATTAGACTAATTTTAAGAGAGTGGGTGCATTTTCATCTCTAGTCTTTGCCCATTGTGTGGTTTCCAAATGACTAATAGGAACGTTGAAGATACCCAATGTTTTAGAATGCACATTCAGTTCATTTATAGTTTCTGTGAGAATCAGAATAAATTTTCAAAACAATAAAATGAATATTTTTATTTAAACTAGGAATTTGGAGAGCAATTACCTGAACAGAAGTCATCAGAATACCTGTCGTAGACAGCTCTACAGTCCCTTTCATCACATTCACAGGTGTCTCCATGAATATCTCCCCAGTCTCCAGTAGGGTCAACATCATGGCAAGAACATTCGCCACACACACAAGTACCTACATGGGAAAAAAAAAAACTTTATATGGTTCTAGTGAGGGAAATTCATGTAAGAAAGCAGCGTATACATTGCTTTTTAAAAATCTCTTGCTTACTTTGAAATATACAAGTACTCATAAAAAATATTTTACAAAAGAAAAACTCCATCTAAAGTTGATAATAGAGATTCTTTAATAAACCAAAGTTATTATCTATGACAATGATTATATGGGATTGTGGCATATGTCATTAGCACAGTGTTGGTTTGCCTTAAAGATAATACCCAAACAATTAAAACAGCATAAGGTAAAATCCTTGCACTCAAAAAGTTTACAATCTACTTGACAAAAAGAAAGCTAATAAAAGAAAAATTAACAAACAATAAATGTGTGAGTACTAGTATTTTGTATACTAGGACATAAATACTGTGAGAAATATTGTAAGAGTTTAGAAAAAAAGAAGTCAATGCCAGCTGGAGTAATTAGGGTAGATGGTCCTGGATATGCAGGGAAATGGGGAAGTGTTCTAGGATGGGTTGGAGGTAGAACAAATCAAGAAAAGTCAAGAAAGCAAGAATAAGCAAAGGAAGGTAGATATGGGTGTGAGGATCCTAAAGAGTTCTGCATTACTGAAGCAGAAGGTACATGTTAAGGAAACCTGAGAATAAGGTTTGCTAGATCAGATGAGCTCCGGTTATAGAACTCGAGTTGGAGATCGGGTAGATAAATACAACCTTGATCACATGGAGCTTTTTGAAGGGGTAGTGCCCCGTTGCAGATCATATTTACTTTGTGTGGATTATCAGTTATCATCTTAAGAACAATCAGCTAATCATTTGTGAGAAAGATAAAGTTAAATCACTTTACCTCTCACATCAAAATAAATCTTACTTAGATTGAAGATTTTAAAATATAAACTAAAACCATAAAATTTAAATAAATCTCTTCTATTCAAAATCCCCAAAGCAAATTACTAAAAAGAAAAACAGAAATAATGTAAAATTTTGGTTGGAAGCAAAACACCAATAACAAACAGAAAAACTAAGATAGTTGTAATAACCTAGTCGTATGTGAGGAAAAGACCAAGAGCTACTTTCACAAACAGAAACTATTCTTAGGAATCAATATGTTAAAGACAAATAAGCCTAAAGCCAAATGAACAAAAGCAAAGAACATCAATCAAAGATTTTGTAGAGATTTATGATGATAGATAAACATGAAAAATGTTTGCCACCTATTATTACTGAGGGGTTGGGGCAGGGGATCTGTAACACAACAGCAGGTTAGAATTATTTTGGATGTCAAATTAGCAGAGGTGAAAAGATTGCTAGGATCAAGGTTTGGTGAAGGTGTGAAGTACAAAATGGTACAACTCTAGATGTACCATTTTTTTCACAAAATGTACTTTGAAAATGTGGCTAATATTTAGCATAAGAGTCTACTTCAATTAATATATCCAAAGGAAAAAAAGGACACAAAAGTACATGCTCAGGAATATTAAACATAGTGTCCTTTATGTTATTGAAAAACAACCAGTGACATAAATATCAATCAATAAGAAATTAGTACAATGGGTAGCTTGGCGTACCAAGCAGTCATTAAAAGTAAAAATTAGGTTTTTGCTCTCCAAGCATCAAAAGATACTCAAAATAGCCCAGCTGGTGTGGCTCAGTGGTAGAGCATTGACCCATGTATCAGAGATTGCCGGTTCGATTCCCAGTCAAAGCACATGCCCAGGTTGTGGGCCAAGTCCCTAGTGGGGGGCATGCAGGAGGCAGCCAATAGATGTGCTCTCTCATCGATGTTTCTATCTCTCTCTCCCTCTCCCTTTCTCTCTCTCTAAAATCAATAAAGAAAAAAAAGATATTCAAAATATATGATTAAATTTTAAAAAATTACATATTAGTATAATTCAATTTTTGTATTAAATGAGAATACCTGTCAGAGAGTATACAGGTGATGAATTCTTAAAAATAAATAATAAAAACAGACCAAAAGATTATGTACCAAAATTTAAAAGTAGGCTATATCTGCATGTTAAGATTATGGATCATTTTCTACCTTACTATCTGCATTTTTTAAAGATGAATATGTATTGCTTTTATAATAATATAAATGATGTGGAGGACGAGCATGTGTTAAATTAGATCCAATGTGAAATTGTGATTAAACCAAAGTGGGCAACAAAGGACATTTTTTTCTATCACCCATTAGCTGTGTGCATAACATTGGATTTTTGACCCCTGAAGATGGGCTAAAAGTGAAAATAAGGTAGGTATGTGCTGGATTAATGTCTCTCTCCTACCTAGGAAACCATGATCAGGAGAGTTCTAGGATAGACGTGAGCAGTCCCCTCTGATAAAAGGAACTCATTGCAGTGCCTGCCCCTGGCCTGCCTTCACATACCCCTGAATCTCACTAGCTACCAGCTTCATTCAGACATGCTGCTTCCTGCTCTGCCTCTGCCAGGTCTCGAATCAGAAAACTTCGAGCACCATGAAGAGGGAAGGCAGGAGATGAGACATGGAGAAGTGGCAAGTAATGCATGTTTCTAAAGGACGTCTGTCTCAAAGAGCCCACAGTCCCTGCAGAACCAGGACCTGATCCACAGCCCAATCGGTGCCACTTTTCTCTTCTCTCTGTGAACATCCAAATGGTGATTTCCCACAGTAACACAGTTCAGGCTTTGTTCACTGACATCCTTATGGTTGACTCCTGACCCTACTGAATAAAAGAGCTGAAGTAGAAACATATCCTCATATATTAAAGACAAACATAACGTGAGCTAGTATGATATACAGTCAAATCTATTCTGTATAAATTAAAGAGATAAATTTTTTAAATGATTTTTGTTCCAACGTCAGGTCTTTGTCGTTTCTCTATGTACACATATGTGGCACATTGTACTTTTCTATGTCAATCTTTAAAAGGATAACATTAGTTGTGTGTTAATGTTTTCCATGGAAGCATTATCTATTAAAATGCATCATCCATTTATAGAAATGAAAAAAGATATTTTTCAGCTTTCTAGATTTTTATATTTTTAAAGAAGGAAATATGGCCACTTATTTATATCATCAGGTAGGCAAAGAACAATACAGTATGACTCTCTATTCACCAACCAGTACAGCTGACAAAGAAACATAAACGAGTGCTTTTAAAAAAATTTAAGAAGTGTTTTGAACTGTTAGATTTTATATCAACAGTTAACTCACTTTAAATTATATTTTTGGCAATAGCAATATATTTCTAAAATTTTTGTCTAAGGCCAGCTTAAATTTTGTATGGCTTTTGGTACAGTTTTCAAATATATTGTGTTCAATATGACATTTTTAGTATTGTATATAAAGTTAAATGACTCTATATCAATTTTGCATTTCAACCAAGCCTTCAATTTACTCATAATTAAGATGAGAGTTGTTGTTTTTTTTAATGCTCTCTGGATAATTATATGTTCATGCTGTAGATGGTTCTGTTAGGCGAGAGACATTTAACAGAAGTATCTACAAGGATTGCCGTTTAGCTGCACTATGCTATTTCTGGATGGCCGCCAAAGAAATTACAGTCCCTATGTTAACTATTTGTTCAGTGAAGCTTAATGAATGACAGCAACTTTCTTATTTTTCTGCTCAATAAAAAACAAGAAGGAGAAAATTGTTGGTATAGTCAATGCTGATTTTCATCAAAGTCAATGACTATCCAAGATGACTTCCTCCCACACGGAAGGAAATACAGAGAAAAGGAGTGTTAACAATTAAGAGTTTTGTTTGCCTCCCAATTACATAGTAATGTGTATGAAGGACACACCTCTGTTACTGCAGATTTTGCCATCTGGAGATGTGCATCTTCGCTTGCTCTCCCAGGGGGTGATATCGCACTGGAATTCACATTTATCTCCATGCCAACCAGCCTCACAGTAACAGTTTCCACAGTAACACTTTCCATGGCCTTTACCCAAAATGAATTTTATACAGTGAGGAAAAAAGCAACTTTAAAAGCAGAATTAACTTTCTATTCCTTTATGACCATTTTTGCTTTCTGAAATAATACACCTGCTTCACACTCATTGCTTAAAAGAATCAAATCAGGTAGCTTGTCCCCAAAACATTATAGTTATGTTTATACTTACATAATATACATATTAAGCAAGTTAAAGTGTTCTCTAATTTTTCCCAGCCAGGTAGCTTATTAAAAGGAATGGATTTTAGCCCTGGCCAGTTTGGCTCAGCGGTTAGAGTGTCGGCCTGCGGTCCGAAGAGACCCGGGTTGGGTTCCTGCTAAGGGCACGTACCTCCGTTGCAGTTTGTCCCCGGCCCTGGTTGGGTTGTGTGGGTGGCAACCACTTGATATGTCCCTTTCACGTCGATGTTTCTATCTCTCTCCCTCCCACTCTATCTGAACAAAATATCAAAAAATGTCCTCGGAGGAGGATAAAAAAATAAATAAAATAAAAATAATAAAAGGAATGGATTTTAAAGAAATGCTATGAAAGACTGTGAAAGCCTATTAAATTCCAATCGCAAATGTATGCATAAAACTCAAAGGTATTTAAGCATTTACTCTAAGAGCACTTCTTGAATTAGTAATTAAAATGTTTTATTTGAAATCAACGACTGAGAAACCAATAGTGAATATTTACTGGGATGCATATTATTAATGACTGAACTGTTTCTTAAACCAGAAGAAATGTTTCATCTTTTCATTCAACCGTATCCCACAAGCTGTTGTGTTCCATCACGTGGAAAAGAGGTTCTCAGCTAAATCAATATTTCGAAATCATTTAGACCAATGAAATATCATGGACCCTGGGTCTCATAAATTCCCATTGTATTTGTGAAGGGTACACAACTGATAGGTAAAGGTACCCCATCATTTTGTGTCTGGATATCACCACACTCTTTCAAACTGTTACCCTACTTGTTTGTTCTTTTGACTAAGAAGTCTGTAATGAATCAGTACTTCATCACTTCCTGCACCCATTTCTAGCAATCTTTCTACAATATTCCTAACAGATGGCAATTCTATTTAACTCAAAATCCCTTTTTATGCTCTCCCTTTTTGTAGTTATGCCATCCAAACATGAAGGTATATTTCTTGTTCTTGTGAATATGACAGAAAACCAGGGTCACCCGAGACTTTGTTTTTAGTCTATTTTTTTTCTGTAGTATAGGAGTTTATGTTTTATCAGAGTCTATGGCTAAAGTCTATGTACTTCTCTCTTTGTTCTCCTACAACCATTATCCCAGAGGATTCATGGGAAACTGGTTGTGAAGCTATTGTTCTTTCTCAGCACTATGGCGTTCCTGGCCAATGGCAAGAGCATCAGCAGGATCTCTTAGGCTTCTCGTCCATCAGGTGAGACTTCCTTCAAGCTGACACACATCAGAAAGATAAAAAAGAACAAGAGATGAAGAGAAACAGTGATCTAACGAGTTATAGAGAAAGAGTCCCATGTATACAATGTCATGTTGTCTGTCTAAATGAGTTATAATTGGGAAATTCATAAAAAAAAAACTTCTTCTTAACTTAACATGACCATTTTTACAACAATTTAATTTTAATTTATTCACTTAGGCAAATATAAAGGCTATCAAGCTTTACATTTATATGTATAATTCCATATTATAATTATAATATATGTATGTATGACACATTTTATTTATGAACTTAAAAATATCTCTGCATGTACACACATGCCAAATATTACATTACCGTGCTGTATCACAAGCCTCAGAAATGTGAGGATTACCCTGGAAAAAAACAAGACAACCGTGTACTAAAAGCTTTTCCTATGAGTCAGTTTTTTAAAAAATTTGATTTATTTCTTTTATTTTTTTTAATCCTCACCCGAGGACATTTTCACATTTATCTTCAGATAGAGCAAGAGGGAGAGAGGGAGAAAGAGAGAGAAACATCGATGTGAGAGAGACACATCGACTGGTTGCCACCCACACAACCCCAACCAGAGCCGGGGACAAACTGCAACCGAGGTATGTGCCCTTAGAGGGAACCAAACCCGGGACTCTCTGGTCTGGAGGCCGATGCTCTAACCACAGAGCTAAACTGGCCAGGGCTAATTTACTTCTTTATCAAGAATTTATTTCCTCTGTAATTTCAGGAAATTTATGTAAGCTGCTATATATGTAAGAATTACCTTGATATTAACAAATGATAAATCTACATTTTTTCACACCCAAAATGTTTGTTTATTTATAAAATTTAGTATTCAATTAGAGTTTTACTAAAAAAAAAAAAAATCACTGAGGTAGAGGTAAAAAAATCATGTAAAGCTAAACCTTTATGCACATATGGAAAATTAATCAGATATTCTTATAACTCAAATAAAAGTACTGTAACAATAAATATCTGAATAATTGTGATTAAATATGATTTTCAGGACAATATACATTCCAGGCAATAAACATCATTGTTTGCTTTGTGTAAACTGATCGAGCAAGAAAATCTCATTTTGAATTGCTTCACTGATGGGCTGTAGAATCACCCCAAACAGAGACTGGTTTCCTGTGAATGACCAGTGGAAAGATCTACAAGCCCAGTCAATGTCACCCACAGAGGATGTTTACCAGAGAACTGGGGTCTGTGGTTAGAGACCTGGCACCATGAAATTGCTTAAGCCTCAAACAAATGGAAATTTAAGTGAAAGGTTGAGAGTTAAACATTTCCTGTTGTGTTCTTTCAAAATTAAATATTTATATTTACACATGCAAATAGACTTTGCTTTGGTGGTCTTCATCAGAACACCCTGGGCCCAAGTACTTTCCCGTTCCCTTCCTCTTTTGATCTGAAATAATTGGAAATGAAACTCCAGGAGGACAAATATATCATATTGGTGGGTGTATTTATCTAATTGTTCTAATTGTTTTGAACTGAACTCTTTAGCAGAATTGTTTGAGCAGTAACTAGCTCAGGTCACTGGCTTGAAAAAAGGAGGCTTTTATATTTATTTGTTTTATCCTGTTGGGTTGTTTAGCAAAGAAACCAGAGAAAAAGAATTGAGCAGACCTAAAATATGAGTATCTGGATATAATTTGTTTTTGTAAACAAAGAGACAGTTTGTCATATGTTATTGACACTTTCTCTATGGTCCTCTGTTTCCTCCTGGCTCCATTTGCCCCTGATCCTTCCAAGAAAATACTCTTGGAATCACCCATTCTGCTTATAGGATAGTATTCCATGGACTGGAATCTTGTCAGAGATAAATGAAATAAGCAAGCTTATCAATAGGAAGATAATTTCACATTAAAATAAACTATAAACAGCAGAGAAGCGTTCACCTAAACTAAAGATATTCTCACTGCTCTCTACTTTTCTCTCCTGTGTCAGTCACTGTTGCAAATTGAAACTCTGGGAACATGCTTGCAGATAGGTAAGGAGAAAAGAAGAACAAAATGGGAGGTGAGGAGATCTTCTCATGAAGATCCACACTCCTGGGCACTGATGCAGTTGTCTTTGGTGTTAGACAGACAGGAACCTGTGCATTCCACTCAAATTGCTGGAATGAACCTGGGTAAGTCACCTAATGAATGTGAAGTACTTATTGCAGTGCTTGGCACTAGCAGGCATGCAATCACTGGCACAACAGAAAAAAACGATTTGAGTAATGGTTGGTGGTACGTAGAAAAGATCATGAAAAATGTTATCTAAGTATGTGTGTGTTGGGGTAGATAAATTCTAGGCTAATAATCCTATTGTCCTCATGTCCCCAGTGATTTAGAAAGGAAAAGAGAATAAAATTAAAACATGCAATTGAAAGACTGGGAGAAAAGGGACAATAAAAGCAGCTAAAGTGAACAGAAAAGATGAAGTCCAATTAGGACCACTTCAGAACTATGTAGTTGGCCTGTTTGGCTTAAGATCTGCCTCTCCTCCGGCAATAATCTGATTTTGCATTGAAAAAGTACAAGTTATTTTGAATGCCTTAACCTAACTTTCCTTATATAAAATGTTTCCCAAATAAACATAGGTTCGTACTAAACTAGTATACTTAGTGAAGAAATTTATAGAGAGACAAAAGTACAATGAAACAAAAAATCAAGTACTTTATTAATTTCTGCAAAGTTAATATACATACCTCCACATATTTCTTCTGTTTCATCATCTATGCATTCTCTATCATCACACTCACAAAATTTACCATAAACGAGTCCATTTCCATCTGAATTATCACACTTACACCTGCCACAATGACATGTACCTAAACCATTAAAACAAAGCAAAAATTAATTTTCAAATGCATACAAGTTATAATTAATGAATTTTAACCTCTTTCACAGAGATAGAAAATTCAAATCAATTTAATATTCAAATTATGTACTTTTTGTGGGTATAAGATAGATAACAAGATATTCTTTTGTTAGATTATTGTACTACAAAAATTCTATTTTCTACTACCACTATTATGATTGACTTCTAATAGTTTAATGAAATTAAATGTGACCTGCTAAGTGCAAAGCTGCCTTGTACATGTCCATCCAATCAATGCATGAATGAATTCTTTCTGATTACACTTGGGTCTGAAGTGAACTAAAGCAGAAAATTCTAAGCTTTGTGAGGGAAATAACCTGCTTATCTGTCTCCCCAGTATTTACTCAATGCTTTGCACAATATTTGAGCATACTATTTATTAACATTTGTGAAATTCATTATCAAATACATAAATGAAAAATGTAGATGCCCTTAATAATTTCACATCCACAGTGTTAAACTGATATGCATATTCTAATGACAAAGGATCAAAGTGGGCTTTCTTAGGCATAGCAACCTATAATCTCACCACAGGGTAAGCAGTTTAGGATGACAGAGGTATTAGAGTCATCTGGTATACCACTAACACATACTCAGCCAAATTTGAGGATTTGACTGCAACCCCTGAGAGTGATTTCACTGAGAGTAAAACAGCATTCAAATGCTATTGAAAAGTAGACTGTCCATTTAAAGAAGTTCCTTTTTAATATTTATTGTTCAATATTTATTATTTTTTTATTTTTTTATCGTTACCCAAGGACGTTTTTTTTTCCATTTTTTGTTCAGATAGAGTGGGAGAGAGACACACAGAGAGAAATATTGACGTGAAAGGAACACATCGAGTGGCTGCCACCAACACAACCAATCAGGGCCGGGTACAAACTGCAACCGAGGTACGCACCCTTAGCAGGAACCGAACCCAGGTCTCTCTGGACCGTAGGCCGACACTCTAACCGCTGAGCCAAACCGGCCAGGGTTATTGTTCAATTTTTAATTGATCATCACAACATTCAACATGAATGAGATTTTACCACTCAACAGACAACACCCTAGACTCTAGAAATAAAACTCAGCTAAATCCTCTGCTCTGAGTTTTATATGAGCAGAACTCAATGTGATAAAATAAATGAAGAAGTGCAAAGTGTTGCAAAAGCAAATAGCAAAGGGATTTAACTGAGAGCTGGAGGTCAAAGATAGGGTCCCTGGAGAAGTAGCTCTTATTTAAGCTGAGACCTGACAACCAAGAGGGAAAAAAAAAAAGCTAAGAGAAATGAGAGATAGTGAAAGGCCCACTTTCCGCAAGAGACAACAGCAGCTTGGCAGGTGTGGCTCAGGGGATTGAGCATTGTCCCAGGCATCAAGAGGTCACAGGTTTGATTTCTGGTCAGGACACATGCCCAGGTTGCGGGCTTAGTCCCTAGTGGGGGGTGTGCAGGAGGCAGCTGATTGATGTTTCTCTCTCACATAGATGTTTCTATCTCTCCTCCTTCCTTCTTTTCTCTCTAAACAATCAATAGAAACATATTTAAAAATATTTTTTAAAAAGAGACAATAGTGCCCTGGCCAGTTTGGCTCAGCAGTTAGAGCGTCAGCCTGCGGTCTGGAGAGACCTGGGTTCGGTTCCCGCTAAGGGCATGTACCTCGGTTGCAGTTTGTTCCCGGCCCTGGTTGGGTCATGTGGGTGGCAACCACTCGATGTGTCCCTTTCACATCGATGTTTCTCTCTCTCTCTCTCTCTCTCTCTCTCTCTCTCCCCCTCCCACTCTATCTGAACAAAATATCTAAAACTGTCCTCGGGTGAGGATAAAAAAAAAAAAAAAAAGAGAGACAACAGCAAAGGCTCTTTGATGACAGAGGAAATAGGATAAAAAAATCAAATACAGCTTGAGTAGAGGCAATAATTTGAAAAGTGGCATAAAAAGAATAAGGCAACTAAAGGTGCAGTTTATAGATGTCTTATAGGTCATGTTAAAAATTTCCAATTATAATCCAAGAATAATGAGAAGCCATACAAATATTTTCAGCAATGAAGTCATGTGATCATTTATTGATTTTTATCAGATTACTCTAGTTGTTGTATGAAGAATAAACTGAAATGAGGAAAAAGTGGATGTGAGGAAAGAATTATTGCATTTGTCTGCATGGAAGAAGGTAGAGGCTGACCAGGGTGATGGGCAGTGAGTTTAGAAAGAATACACCTATTTTTCAGAATAGAGAGAACTTGATGACTAATTAAACATGACTTGGTGAAGGACAGGGAGAAACTAAAGATGATATTGATAATTGACTTGAGCTACTAGATATTAAAAATTTATATGTGACCTACTTGAACGATCATGGATTTAGGACTAAGGCAGACATGTAGCCAAATCCAGGTTTTAATCACCACTAGCTATACCTTTTTGAGGTCAGGACGTTCATTATAACACTCAGATTCCTAATCTACAAATAATATGTACCTCATAGAGCTGCCATGAAGACCAAATGATAAATATCATCCAGTCATCTTTCTAAAAACACTGCTGTGTCTAGTATATAGTAGGCTTTCAGAAAACTTTGGGTTCTTCCTCTTCCCCCACTAAGATACCTAGTATATTTCTCCTGATACACTTTATATTTATGAACCCCTGTTTTCAAACTCTCTGCATGATTCTGTTACTCTAGTCTCTTCAAATTTGCTATTATCTATAAAACTCTTTTTCTCTTACAGTCACATATAAATGGATGATTTTGCAAATTTGAGCTTATTAGTTTTCCTCCCTGAGAATGCACATGTGAATTTTACTTTTATTAAACTTCATTGTCTCATGTTTTCTTCTGAAAACTATTTTAATTTATAAATTTTATTTCAAATCTAATTTTATAATTCATGATATTGCTTCACCTCAATTTTTCCTTTAATTATCACTTTTCTTTTTCATTTTCATATTTATTAATGCTGTCTTTCAACCACTCACATATGCATTCATTTAGTATTCTTGTTACTTATTATATTATTGGCAAACTAGTAGGTGCTATAGGAGATAATAAGATGAATAAAATTAAATCTAAGTAAATCATAGACCAGGAAGGAAGAACTAGATGATCAATAATTTATACAGGGGTGGGCAAGAGTAGTTTTACAGTTGTAATATAAATAAATAATAAGATAAGAAATAATAATGCAAGAATAAAGCATTTCACATACTCACAACTCTCTCTCTCTATATATATATATGCATCCAAAGACATTTGCAGTAGATTTGTGACAAATGCTTTATAGAAAGTATTAACTTAAATCTTCGTCTGGCTTTGTGATGGAGGAAAGGCAAAATAAAGGAGTTCTAGAGTTGGCACTTGACACATGGATAGAATTTCAACAAGTGGAGATGAAGAAAAGACTTGAGATATTGAGGAGAGAGTGTGAGCTAAGGAATCTGAATGGATAATTAAAGAACAGTGAAGCATCTGGTCTATGTTTGGAGGAAAGGGTAAATTGAAGGCAGATAGTAGAGGATTGAGACTATTGGTAAAAAATGTTAGAACTTGATCTGTTGGAATTCCTGGATGCTTCATGGTTTGGGAGTGAGGTATAACATAGGATTATGTGCAGTGGTTATTTTCAGGAAAGATGGGAAGGAACAGTCTCTTCCTATGAATTCTGCAACTTCTCACTGACATCCACACATCAGAACCATTCCTGGCTGATGTGGGAAGTTTACAACAGCTCAGACACTTCCTATCTCACCTACTAAGTAGAATTCACAATCAAGGCTCCGAGATACAGCATATGGAAGACCAGTCAAAAGTGCCAGACTCCTGTGTTCAAGCTATGTCATACTTCTCCTCTTTTTTTGGTTGCCATTTAATTCCATTTCTAGGATTGGTCTTCTCCTTTATGCTAGATTATTTTAGCTCAGATTTATCAATTTAATATAGCCGTTTCTCTTTAAGATGACTTCCTAGTCTTGGACATTAGCCTATATACCCTTCTGCAATGGCATCACGCTTCACTTCTCCCTGCAGACTGTGCTTGCCTTTCTGGGCCCCAACAGAGTCAGAGGAATCCATTAGTCCCCACCTCCATCTTATGCCCAGCTCCATTTACCTCCATTCCCCCTTCTGCTCCAAGCTACTTCAGGAAAGAGAACTCACGAGCTAATGCAGTTTGGGGGGAGTGGTCCTGATCTACGTTGGTAGACATAATCATTAAAAGAAAGACAGGTGAGAATGAGATTGTCAAAGTAAACTTGAAAGGCTTAGATACTGAAAGAAGAGTAAGAAAGAAAGAAAAGATTAAGTGTAATACAGAACATGAATTTACCCTGTGGCCCAGCAAGTGTAAATTTTAGTAATTTACACTGAAGATAAACATCCAAAGATATGAAAGTATATATGCACCAGTTCATTTTTGTATCAATATTTGTAATTTCAAAATAGTGGAAACTGCCTAACTGCCCAAGTATAGATTTATTATGTCACCTGTATAGAACTGAGCCCTATGCATTTGGAAAAAAATGAGTATGTTTTCTCTCTACTAATATGGAGTCAATTCTATGATATAATGTTGAGTGACAAAGGTACAAAAGAACACTTATAGCATGCTATCTTTGACATGGGAAAAAGGAATTTTTTTTAATTACCAAAAATAAATACATACACAGATAAAGTAGAAAGCAATAAAAATAATGAAAGGTTTAAGGAAGAGAGTAATGATTCACTAAGTAAACTTTTTTGCAAAGTTTTGACTTGGAAACATGTTTATTTTCCATATATTATAAAATAAAATGAAATCAGTAGAGATAGGAAAAGAAAAAAAACAACACACCTAAAACTGAAAGCAATCTCATATAAGTAAGCTCAATTATATTTCAAATGAGTACACAACTACACTGAAGGGGGCGGGGAGAATTCAAGTAACTTGTGAATACAGAATTTGACTATATACGTCTTGGGCATAATTGGGGTGGGGTGGAGGTGAGAGAGGGGGTGGTTTGCAAATCCTGAGAATATTTTGGTAGATCTTTTTTTGTATAGAGGTGTGTATGACTCAATTTCAAAATCAATTTTAGATGTAGTATAGGATTGAGCAAATGAGTAAATTGATGTTGAAGATAGAGTTCTCACTGTGGAAAATGAGACATCCAAATACAAAAGGGAATAAACAAGAAGTAATCTTGTGGGGATAGACAGGAGTTCGATATATTGGTGTGAATTCATTATTTTAAAATATGCTTATGTGTGTGTATGTACATGCATATGTATATGCACGTTTGTATGTGCATTTGTCTGTATGTATATATGTTCATGCATGTATTCACGAGCCTCTTGGCAGAAAAGGCCAAGAAGCAAATACACCCCGGTTGCAATAAGCATCTCTAGTGCTCACAACTTTTATTCTTATATCATTCTTCGCGAAAAGAAACCAGGCTCTTTGGGACAATGGTTGATTCCAAAGCTGTTGCAGGATAGGACCGATATGACTATGAAATATTTTTATGGCAGAAAGTACAGAAGTGCTAAAACAAAGCACAATCCAATAATGGAGGCACGCCACCAGGACTGAGAAGCTTGTTTGAAGGGGCACCAGTAGTCTAATCTGGGGTCATGTGAACACCGGAATAATTACATACAGTAATGAATAAGGAACCACCGAAATAATGGGAACTGTGATCCTAGTCTGATAATAAATCAATAAGCAAACAAATAATTGGTAGATGAGACAAGACTCTCATTTGTGGTAGAATACTGACTGCCAATTGGTAAATATGGAGGGAAGGTTAGAGTTTGGAAATCATCATTCTTCAATCATCATTATAAATACTGAATCAGGTGAGAGTTGCCCATGGATAGTGAATTGGGATATCTTATTGGCACTGTTATAATAACCCAGTTATTAATTAACAGGAAAGGAGTAAAGGGGAGACTAGATAATATAGGCATGCCATTTGTGCCAGAAGGCTGCAATTTAGATGTAAGCCCAGGAAGGTCTGGGTAATGTGGGAAGGTGCTTGCCTGTCAGTCATACCTGGGAACAGGGCAGTGGCCAGAGTAGGCCTATGGACACAGCCACTGAAAACATGGTTAGATTTGATATTTAAACTCCTAAACAAAGAGAGTTCTCTCTTGGCTCTCTCTCTTGCTTACTCGTGCTCCTGGCTCTCTTGTTGCAGGAGGAGCATTCCCCTGTATTCGCCCACATGGCCCACAGCCATGTGGACTCCACTCAGTGGACTAATGGACTATGACTAGCCTGATGCCTAATGCTATACTGGACTCAATTCCACCATGGAACAGAAGCTTGGGACATGGCTTGCTTCTAGCTCTGCTGAATTCCCAGAATTCCCAGAAGCTACCCTTCTTCCAGGACTGGACTAAGGAAAATGGGACTTTGTAAACTGACAGATATAACTCTACATAAATAAAAATTACTCATTTTCCTGTGGGAGTCTTAGAAAATTTTTTTTTCTCAAGGCATCACAAGAAACCTACCCCAACTAGCAACGAAGAAATTCCGCCACTACAATTCTCTGGTAACATCATGAATTGGGATATCTTATAATTTCAAAGTGTTTCCTTACAGACTACTCATTTCTGACAACAGTAAAATCAGTCATTACAGAGCTGAGACATCAGACAACACCTTGACCAGGTGATCAAAATTAACCTCACTAGGGAGAGTAGATGGACATTTTGTACTTCCAGGTAACACATCTTGAGAACACATAATCATCTATTTAGTATTTCAGCTAAGGATGTATAATACGAACCTAATCATGAGGACTCAACAGAAACTCTATTTAAAAAGAAGTTGGGGACAATTTTCTTCAAAATCGTCAATGCTACAATGCCATTATCTGTGGACCTGGTCCAGTTTAAAGGAGGCTAAAGAGAGATGACCACTCAATGTAACAGTGCCCCTAGACTGAATCCTATACAGGGGTAGGGGGGACTATAAAGGAAATTGTTGGCTTAACCGAAAAAAAATGGAACATGAATGGTAGGTTACATAAAAATATATCAATGTTAAAAAATATAGGGGTACAAATATCTGAGAAATGTGTTTTGTGCCTTATTAACTGTTTTTTATCTGTTAAAATAATTCTGTAAGTTTTCTTCTTAAAGATAATGTAGTGAATCACATGTTTAGATTTTTTTCTGTTCAAACATCTTTGGATTCCTGCTCTAACATCTACTTGTCATTAATGTATTATTAAAAAGAAAATAATCATACCCTGAATTTAATTTGAAAACAAAATAAACAAATCCAAAAAATGACGAACAAAGAAACAAACAAAATTCAAGTCTTACTACTTAAAGAAGTTTGGAAAGCATGAAGTTTTCAAAACAAAGAGGCTGTGTGGGGGCGGGAAGGGAGGAGTGTGTGGGTGTGCACACATTTGAAGGAATGGGTGTTATGAGCTGAAAGTAGAGAAATCCTACTGAGAGGAAAGAAAAGACTGAAGTACTGAAAGAAGTAAGAATATCAGTACATACAGAAAGTAACCTGACAGCTGAGACCATTTGTCCTGGTCCTTGATTGGTCCACTCACACCTTGCATTGGGTATGGACCTGATTCCTACAAGCAAAACAACCTCACTGCACTTAGTCTGCACAGAGCAATTTGTCACAATCAAACATTGTGGAAAGGTTTTAGCTGATTGCAGGACTTCACCTGAGCTTCAGGAGGGAAGATATTCATTCATGTAGTAAAATCCTTGCCTATAACAGAAGAGCAGTGGCTCAGAAGACTGGATCTATATAAGAATTACACAAGAGCTTTAAAAACCAACTGTAATTCAGATCATACCCTAAGACAACTGAACCACAGCTTCTAGTTTAGGACAAAGGCATTCTCAAGTTCAACCAGATTGAGAAAAGCTGACTTTGAGGCTCCATGTGCCCCAATGTTAAAAAGAGTATTTAAGTATAGTAATACTGGCTGAAAACCATTGAAACGGAAACTGTAATTGTGTGTGTTGTTTTTTAATCCTCACCCGAGGATATTTTTCTATTTCTCTTCAGATACAGTGTGAGGGTGGTGGGGAGAGAGAGAGAAGGAGAGAGAGAAACATCGATGTAAGAGAGACACATCGACTGGTTGCTCACACATGACCTTGACCAGGGCTGGGGACGAACCACAACAGAGGTATGTGCCCTTGACCTGAATCAAACCCACGACTCTTTGGTCTGTGGGCCGACGCTCTAACTACTAAGCCAAACTGGCCAGGGCTGTTGTGTGTTTTTTTAATAGGGTTTTGGTAATTAATTTTAACAGCTTCTCTGTGAATTTCAAAAAATATTTTAAAATAATTTCTGTGAAATATAAAACTATTTTGGTCAAATGAGGAATCTTGCTGTCACTATATTCTTCAGTGAATTTCACATCGTGCATCTGAAACTTCTATTTAATTAAAAAGGTTTGCTTCTATTTGATGTTAAGGTATAAATTCAAAGCACCCTTGATCTGTAACAGAAAATAATTAAGTCAGTTTATATAATTCCTTTTTCAAAGATTAAATTCAGCATTCAAAATCAGGGCTGACAATTTACATCAATTATTATTGAGGTGTTGTTTCCAATGAATATCCTACTTGAACGAGGCATTTGGAACAGCTGGAGAATATCGAACATGCCAGTCTCAGCAAGAAAACATTTTGTTTCTATTGATTTATCTGAATTTCATTTCTAAAAAGTATACTCAAAAGTGATTCATTCAGAGGATCAACACTTCTCAATGCCTACGTACTTCCATTAAAAACCCAAATTTTATTATTTCACATAACAATTTTCGTAAGATAAAATTCTTACCTGCATTAGAGCAGATGATGTCTTGAGAATTCTTACACATTTGATTACTTTTTTTCTTTGTCAGGTCACAATTAGTCGGGTACTGGCAAGCATCACCAGACCATCCTTTGTCACATTTGCACTTTCCACAGTCACACTTACCGTGGCCTGAGGATTTAACAACATCCAGTTATACTCAAATTGTTTTCCAAAAAAAAAATCACTGTAACTCAAAGACTTAAGAATAATGTTGGTTCACAACTGAGCTATAATGAATTCAAACACATATATATTACAGTGACTAAAAGGTAATGTGATTATATACAGTGTAATGAAGTATGCAAATTTTATTTAAATAATCAATTTTGATAAATCAGGCTAAAACGTTCATTTATAAGTTATATTTATCAGGATAGATAATAAACCAGAAGTGTAATAAATCACATTAGAAAATTAGCATAGAAAAAAATATTCACTTTGTACCTCCACATTGTGAAGACAAAAGCCTAATATAAATTATTTTCATGTAAGTACATTTTATAACATACAAAACTACAGAGTCTAAGTAAGGAATCTTACATGAATCTCCACTAAACTGAACTTTGGCTATACATATACACACCACACACACACACACACACATATATATATATATATAGAGAGAGAGATACAGATATAGATATAGATATGAACAGAGATAGAAATGATAGAGCTAGAGCTGGAGCTAGAGCTAGAGAGAGAGAGAGAGAGAGAGAGATCACGTTGGGTAAGATTGACATGAAAGTTAAGTATATATCTTATTTCTCAATGAGGAAACTTGGTTCAAGAATCAAAAGTATATGACCCATATTCATCTATTGCCATGAAAATTTCTCAACATTTCATGCTCTTAAATTAGCGTTCTGCTGTTTTTATTACTAAGATCATTAACTTCATTAAAGTCTGCTTGATGAAGCCTACTAATGTTTTAATTGACTACATATTAGTCTGGCCAAAGTTCACAATATGTATGTACAATCTTTGGTCCTTGTCCTCAAATAATTTATAAATTCAAAGTTGAGACTGATATACTAAGAGAATAATTTGTTTAACCTTGTGTTAAGTTGAGCGATACAGTCTAGGACTTATAGAAATAAAAAGGGAGAGACTTTCTGAACTTCCTTTACCTTTAAATAGGCTTTGAAAGGTGAGGAGAGCTTGAATGGTTTGCAGGGAGATTATTCTTATATTACTTAAGATAATAATAGTATGTCTTAAGGCCTGAAATTCATAGACCACAATGGAATGAAATCATTGATTTGGTGCCAACAGTTATTCAATGTAGCAGCCAAAATCCACATGATGAGGTCCAGATGGTCACTCAGAATGAATGGCTCAAAGGCGTACCATTTGGGCATATTCAGCAGAGCCTGAATCATTGATTGGCTGTGACTTTAAAACTCCTCTGTGTGTGACCCAGTCCATGTAAATGTTTCTATTCCTGTTGCATTTTTCAAATTAATTATTCTATTTCACAAACAAAACCTTGCATGCACCCTAATTGCAATTCACTTCATCCAGTGCACATTACTCTGTCAAATTGATTGTATCATTTTGCATTCCTGTCTGGCCCCACATGATAATGTTAATCTCGGCCAACTTGTTATCATTCACAAACATAAGTGATTTCTCCTGCCAACCATCCAGTCTATTTATAAAAGTATTAAGCCAAATTCTTGAAGGAGCTAAGCCTCTTTGGTAAATAACGTGTCTTGGTAACTATAAGGACTTTTAAACAATATTAGTGTATTAGATTGAACCACATGAAATTGTTACTTTTATTAGTTGAATATCAGGTATTTCTTATGGTTCATGCCAATTCAAAGCTTCATATCAACAAAACTGATAATAGAAATGATTTAGAAGTTAAAGGAATATGGTAGTAATGATTTGCTAAATCTGGAATAAAAGAATACTCAATGTTTGTTTTATATAGATGGGACACCTTATCTGGAGATAAATATATACTTTTTTTTAAAACAAAATAATCTTCAGACCATTTTAACTCTTCATCCACAGTTAATAAGAGCTTTGGCAGACCTCAGGGAATACGGTTGCTTTATTGTTGTAGCAATCTTCATTAAAGTGTCAATAACATGGCTTTGAAAGAGATCCCATTTTTCAAAATAATTTATCTATTGTGTATTAGCTTTCTGGGGCTTCACACAAAGTACCACAAACTGAATGGCTTAAAAAACAGAAATAACTCTCTCACAGTTCTGTAGCCCAGAAACCCGAAAACCAAGCGTTAGCAAACGGTTCCTTCTAGAGGATCTTGGGAAGAACTCTTGCACAGTTTTCTCCTAGATACTGGTCTTTTCCTACAAATTTGGGGTTTATTGGTTTCTGATAGTTTAATTTCAATCTCTATTTCTGTCTTCACATGGCGTTTTGATCTCTGGGTGTGTGCCTCTGCATTTTTCTACTTACAAGTGCAGTCATTGGATTTAGAGCCCATCCTACTCCAGTATGACCTCATATAAACTAAATTACATCTTCAAGGACCCTATTTTCAAATGTCACAATCACAGGCTTCAGGTGTTAGGACTTCACATATCTTTTAGGAGAACATAGTTCAACCCACAATAGTTGCAAATAATATATCCTAATTATTTTCTTTTCTAAGTTAAATTCATGTAAAAGATGGGGCAATTTTTCCTCCTATACATAACAAATTGGTTAGGGCCGGCAGCAAGCCACCTCTCCTCCCCACTTCTATCCTGCCCTGGGAGAGGCCTGAAATTTCTACAGACACCTGGGGTTAAATTCACATTTGGTTCCATAGCTCTGCCAGTCCCTCCCCCACGCAGTTCCTCCCACAGTAGTTGCTCCTTAACCACCAACCCAGCCTAAAGACAACTGAACTGCCATAGATCAGAAGGGAAACACAACAGGCTCTCAAAGAGAGTTGGGGGCTTTTGGGGTGAAGAGTCCCAGGTCCCAGACACCTCAGTCAAGGAGAGCAAAGATGGAAAGCACCAGAGTTCCAGGTGGCCACCTCCCCTTGGCTTCTCAGACATACTACACCATCCTGACCTTGAGAATAAATGGCCAAGAAGAGGTAGAGCAAAACCCCTAAATCATGAGGTCCAGAACAAGATTTCAATTGCACAGGCCAAAGGATAGCCCTTGACCAGAGGTACGTGAAATCCTAACCAGTAAAGCATTCACCATTCCTGGATGCCTAGACCAGCGACTTTCAACCTTTTTTATCTCATGGTACACGTAAACTAATTACCAAAATTCTGCAGCACACCAAAAAATATATCATATTTTTTGCCAGTCTGACAAAAGAATAGATATAATTATGATTCATTCACACCAGAAGGCTATTTTTGTATTCTCTGCTGTCATTTTTTTATTTGGCAACTGGAGGATAAAGAGGTCACGGCCCCTGACTAAATGTCCGGTATTGAATATTTAAAATTTCATGTCACACCGGTTGAAAATCACTGGTCTACACCATTCCCGTTCTGATTCTTCTCCAGAGAAGTCAATTTCCACAACTACAAAATGCAGTCTTAAAATAAACAATTCAACATGCTTGACAATAAATCTGCTGCCCTTCAAATAAGTTCCTAAGGAATTAAAAAACAAACAAACAAAAAACACACACACACAAAAAAACCAACAACACAAAAAATAAGAGTGTCAGAGAAATGCCAAAACAACTCCCTGCCAAAATAATGAAGATGGAAAAGTAAAAGGCAATTGTTTCCAGGGCTGGCAGTGGTGTAGGGAAGACAAACCACAGCAGAGAGCAAAATTCAATAGTTTAGTCTCCTTTTTAGGTAAGAATTCGGAGGCCTGGCTGGCTTTCTCCAGTATTTCCCACTAAGCCGGGGCCTTTCATCTCCACAGATGAAGGAAAAGCATTCCAACAAACACTGAATAAAAAATTGTAATTTTTTTTAAACAATGCAGCAACAGCGTCACCATTTTTTCATGGTCCCTTTAACCCAGGTAATGCAAAAGCAGTGGTGATGAACTCAATAAAGTACGTTTATGCACAATGGAGGAGAGTTGGCGGTATTTATTTTTAAATGAAAACAAGCTGTTTTAAAATGGAAAAAAAGACTTTACCAGTACTGAAGAACTTTTAAAAATCAATCAGCCATTTCTAAATACCAGTGAAAAATAATTATACTTTTCTTTGGCAAATATACGGAAGAAAAAATAAAGATGGGGGAGACAGCCCTCATCTTGCTTTTTCAAGTTTACTGACATTTTGGATGGAAATAAACTGTCCAAATGAATGTGTTTATTGGATTAGCTATATGTCTTTGGTTTCAGTCCTCTTGAAGTCTTAAAAAGGTAAAAAGTAGATAGATGATGATAGATAGATAGATAGATAGATAGATAGATAGATAGATAGATAGATAGATAATAGATAGATGATGATAGATGATAGATAGATAGATAGATAGATAGATAGATAGATAGATAGATAGATAGATATAGATAGATAGATAAGGAATAGGATGAATGGATAAAAAAGATGTGAATATTATTCAGCCATGAGAAAGAAGAAAATTCTGCCTTTTGGGACAACGTAGATAAATTTTGAGGGCATTATGCTAAATGAGGTGTCAGAAAGACAAAAACTGTGTGATCTCACTTAGGTATAGAATCTAAAAAACAAACAACAACAACATAAAGCAAACTCATAGAAAAAAATATCAGATTTGTGGAAACTAGAGGCAAAAATTGAGGAGTACGTGAAATGGGTGAAGGGGATCAAAAGGTACCAACTTCCTGCGATAAGTAAGTGCTGAGGTATAATAAACAACACATTGTCTGTAGTTAGCACTGCTATGTGGTATATTTGAATGTTGTTAAGAGAGTAAATCCTTAACATGGATGAAGAGTTCTCATCACAAGGAAAATAATATTTTCTTTTTTTTTCTTTGTACCTACATTAAATAATAATTTTTAATCATTATTCATTACTATTGACAATAATTTTATCATATAGAAGACAGAATGGATGTTTCAAAAATGATTCTGGGTGTCAAATTAGCTAGGTATACCACTGATGAGGCCTCATGGTAACTGAAATTTAAACACCCAGCTGAACCTGCAAATCTATTTGCTTTGGTCAAATATGTACATTCCAAAGACCTGACTTG